GGGAAGCGGCCGCCGAGCCCGTCTCGCTGGGGCTGCTGGCGATGGTGGCCACCCCGTCGGGCTGGCCCGGACCCGGCGGCAGCCCCACACCGGCGGCGGGGGCGGCGGGGGCCGGCAGCCCTTGCAGAGTCTGCCCGCAGACGTGGTGATGCTTCTCCCAATCCTTGTGTTGGCAGAAGGAGCCGCAGTAGCGAGCGGTGTTGCAGCCGCTGCAGGTCTCGCTCGCTTTGCGTCCGCAGTTCCAGCAGCTCTGCGGGGATGCAAAAGCCGAGCCTCAGCTCCGGATCGTGCGCCCCCATCCCAGACCGTGCACCCCCATCCTTGACCATTGCGCTCCATCATCCCAGACTGTGCTCCCCCATCCTGGACTATGCACATCATCCCAGACCACGTAGAGCATTCCGGACCGTGCCTCTCCATCCTGGACCGTGCACCTTGTTCCAGACTGTGCACCCCCATCCTGGACCACACACATCAACCTGGACCATGCACCTTGTCCCGGACCATGCACCCGCATGCTTGACCGTGCGCTCCATCCCCAGCTCGCTGCAAGAAATCCCCTTTTCTTCCCATCCCGTGGTGTTGCCGCAGCCCCCCCGCTACCCACGCTTGCAAGCACAGACGTTGAAAACTTGATTGCAAAAGGAGCAGGTCCCAAACCTGCCCTTGCTGCCACCGACCCTGTCCCCCCCGGCCCCCACCTCGCTCGAGTCCTCCTGCTGATTGATGACGGTCAGGGCGTCCTCCGAAGCCTGGCGCTTGGCCTCGGCCAGGGCTCGCTCCATCTTGGCTCGCTCCGTCGTGATCAGCTCGTGGGCTTTCCGCTCGGCATCCGACACGGCCTTCTGCAGCTCGGACATGGCCTGACGCTTTACCTCGTTCACAGCTTCTTCTGGAAGGAAGGCGGCCGAGCGTGGCACGGGGTGTGCCGGCACCCCAGCCCCGGTTCTGCGCGTCCCCCTCTGCGGCAGCGCCGTGGGACGGCTGCCAGCATCCACCCTGCGCGCCAAACCCACCCTGACCCCCTTCTCCAGCCCCGCCGGCACCCCGACACGGAGTGGGGAAGGGGATGGGGCAGAGACCCTGCGAACTCAGCACACCGATGGGCGCCGGTACCCGCCCCGCACTCACCAGCCTTCCTCCAGATCTCCTCCGGCATGTACCCGGAGAGGGGCCGCGGCGCGAACTCCCGGTGAGCGTCTGCGACGGGAGAGGGGGCAACGCCGTTAGGAGACGCCGTCCTCTTCGAACCCACCCGCCGGCAGCGCCGGACCCCCGGGGGAACGGCACGGGCGCCCCGGAGAGGAGCGCAGCCCCCCCCTGAACGCACCCCGTGGCCCCGGGGGTCAATACCTAACTGGGGTGCCTCCGAGGCGGAGGAGCTGTTGTGGGGGCGGGCGGAGGGGGGGCTGCCTTTCTTCATGTCTTCGGCATCGCTGTAGCGCCGGATCCAGTGGTTGAGCTCCTCGCGGTCGGCCTCCTGGCCCCGCCGCAGCACCGTCAGCGACCGGCGCGTCTTCTCCACCATGTCCATGATGCAGTTCAGCAGCTGCGGGGGGGGAGGCAACGTCAAGTTTGGGGCGGGGGGGGGCTTTGCTGCAAGCAGCTGGGGGGGCTGGTGCTAGAACAGGGGGGATTTAGATTATGCCAGGCTGTGCCGGGGCCGGTGTGCCATTTTGGCTGCGGGGAGCAAAGGATGCTCGGGAGAAAAGCCCTGGGGGGGGACACACAGTGGGGATGGAGGGCAAAGCCAGGGGAAAGCACTCATGCCAGCCCCACGGGATGGCTTTGGGGGGAGGGGGGGGCATTACTTACGTTGTTGAGGTGTTTCCACTCCTCCGCCCATTCCCGGTCGGTGAGCCGGTGGTCGATCACCTCCTCCTGCCGCGTCCCGTGCACCGCTGCAAGGCAAGCGGGGGGTGGGGGTCAGCCCCCCTGCAGCACCCCTCTCCCTGGGGCAGCGTGTGTGTGTGTGTGTTCCCCAGTGTCCCCCCCAGCCCCGGCACACGGGGGATGCCACCACTCACCGGCGGGTCGCTGGCGCTCGCGGAGGTCCCGGGGGTCGGGGTGACGGTAGGCGTCGCGGTAATGGTGCGCCATGGCCATGTCCTCCAGGCGGTAGTGCTGGGGGAGAGGGGGAGCGGCGGGGGGGGGGTGTCCCAGCCCGTTGGGGGGGTGATTCAGCCCGTTGCTGGGGCTGTAGCGCTGCGCCGGGCTCATGGTGCACGGCCGCTTGCTGAGGTGCTCGGGGTGCAGAGGGTCTCGGTCCAAACCGTTCTCTTTGGTCCTGGGTGGAGGAGAGGAGGTCGGTCCCCCGAGGAGGGGGTGGCAAGGATGCGTGCATGTCTCCCCCCCCCAAAAAAATACCCCACGCGCCCGTCCCGGCTCGCACCTGTCTGGCGTCCTCCTCTTGCCGCTCTCGCCCACCTCCAGGAGCAGCTCGGAGGAGTCGATGGGAGAAGACGCGTTGGCGTCCAGCAGCAGCTGCTCGTGCTGCGCCAGGTACTGGGCCGGCGTCTGCTTGGCCATGCGGGCGCAGTGCAGCAGCTCCCGCTGCAGCAGCGGCAGGTTGGCCTGCGAGAGGGGGGAGACAGTCCAGTCCAGTCCACGGTCCCGCAACTCCCCGCTCCCCCAGCCCGGCACCCTGTAGAGCCCTCTATAGAGCCGTGGCCCCCCCGGCACAGCCCGGCTTTGCCCCCAACCTGCCGCAGGCTGGAGGTGCCGGGCAGGCAGCAGCCTTCCCTTTGGGGTCCTGCTCGCCTTCCCCAGGGGGACATCCTTGGGACCCCACTCACTGCAGCGTGCCCGGGCTAGCTGGGCTGCCGGGATGGGGGGACACACACACACACGTGGCACCCCGCAGGGTTCGGCCACGTGCTGGCATGGGCACAGCTTCAACCGAGCCCTCCTGCATCCTGGCAGGGGTTGCAAAGCATCATCCCCCGGCCAGCTCGGCCACCTCTGCCACCCTGTCCCCGCAGTACTCGCCCTGGGGACCCAGATGAGCCCCCAGCCCTTCTGGCACCCGTGGGGCATGGCTGGGAACTCCCCACCCACCAACCCACCGTGTGTCCCCCCCAAACCCCGGCACCGCAGCCCCTAGGATCACGCAGAGCAGCAAGAACGAAGGAGCAGAGACCCCTTTCTGCCCAGGCGCTCTGGCTGCCAGCTCTGGTTTTCTCTTTAGGGAGCTGATCCGCAGCCAAACGCCCATCTGTCGGACACGTTAGCGCTCGAGCCGGAGATGCACGCTGCGGTGAGTGGGGCCGGACCCTCCCCTTCCCCAGCCGGAGCGGTGTGGCGGGGGGGGTGGAACAACCCCACAAAAACAAGCAAGCCCCCGAGTCTGGGAAGCATGCCGAGCCCGGCTGGTTGCAGTTAGGATAATGAGAAACATCTGGAGCCCACGGTGGGAACAGCTGGGAGCAGGGTGCCAGGGCGGCCGGTGGGGCCGCCGCGAACTTGGCAGTGGGACAGCGGGGACGGCTCCCGGCCGCAGGGCCACCAGCACCCGCCGGGACACCGTGAGCCGCACCGCCAGGGGTGCACCGTCCCCCTGCTCCCCCAGACCCCGCGTTGCCCTCCAAACCCGGGCGGGAGGGCTCTGCCGTCGTCGTCGTCGTCATCCCCCCACCCTGGCTCGGTTTGGCCATATTTCGGTTCTGCCTTTCCCCTGCCAGGAGCAAACCGCTCCGGCAGCTTTGCAAGCAGATTCCTGCGGTGAGTGCGGACCTCCGCTCCAGGGGGCTGGGGATGCAGAGGTGGAAAAGGGGCTTTTTTTGCACTTTTTCGTTATTCCTCTGCTAACGAGGGGCAGGCGACGCCGGGCTTGAACATCTGCCGGCAGCGCCGGTGCTGCCAGGCGTGCCAGCGGTCAGTGAATCCCTCCGGAGCGGGGTGACAGTGTGGAGTCAGCGCGAAATTAAAAGGCAAATAAAAAGAAGGGGATTTTTAATGAATTGCAAATGGTTACCAGCTGGGCCAAAGCCCTCGCTTTATTGCAAACAGCCCCGGCCTCGTGTGACTCCACACGTGCAAGGAGCTGGGTGTGCAGGGGGGACACACGTGCCCGGGGGGGGGCGACGCAGGCAGCCCTACAGGCAGCCGCCAGCCCCGACCCCAAAGCCACCCCCCAAATCCCCCTTTGCCAGCGATACGGACGCTAACCCCGACATCCCCGCGGTCCCCGGGCTGCGGCACCCACCTTGAGGAAGGGGATGACGAAGGGTCGCAGCGGGAAGTTGGTGGCCTCCTGGAGCTTGGCATGAAACTCCTCGATGGTGAGCGTGGAGTTCTGCGGGGACAGCCCGGGCTCAGCGCCGCTGGCCGTGGCCCCCCGCCTGCCCCGCACCCCCCAGGAGGATGCTTTGCTGTTTCTCCCCCATTTCTGCTCCTCTGCCAGCTCTGCCACGCTCGAGGGAAAACCACGCTCGAGGGAAAACCACGCTCGAGGGAAAACCACGCTCAAGGCTTTGCTGGCAATGCCAGCACCCGGGACCCAACCTTGCACCGCGCTGTGCAGTTCCCAGGAGATGCCGGAAAAACAGCCCCCATTTTTCCAGGATTTAGGTCAATCTAGCACCAATAGGACCCTCTTTTTTCCCCATTCAGCAGCATCTCCGTAAGGGAAAACACAGGATCCCCTGATACGGCATCGCCCCGCCAGCCGCCCGCACCCGGCAGACGTACCACGAGCCCCAGGACGAGGGTTCGCACCCGCTCCCCGATCTCGGGGGAGATGTCATTGCCGAACTGCTGCAGCGTGGTGAGGAACCGCTTGAGCTTGGAGAGCTGGCGGGCGCCGCAGGCCGGCGGGAGCTGGTGGGTGGAGAGGGAGGCGGTGGAGGAGGTGGCCGGCCCGTTGCTGAACCCGTTTGGGGTGGACGGAGCCCCATTGATGGCGGTCGGCGAGTGGCTGCTCCCGTTCATCACTGCGGGGAGAGAGGGGACGGGAGGTCAGAGTGGGTGGCCGTGCCCTGGCACCGCGGGGACAAGACTGGGCTGGGGGCACCAGAGCATCCTGCCGGGTACCGCGGGGCCGGCACCCTCCGGGAGGCTTCGGGATGCTGCTGCATCCCTGGGGCCGCATCCTGGACCGGTCCCTGATGCTGTGGAGGGGCTGGAGGGAGGGATGGGGTGCAGTGCATGCCCCAGCACAGCGAGGGCCTGATCCTGCTCTTCGATGTTCAAGGCAGCCAAGAGAAGGGGCTCCATCCTGCCCCTCTGGGAGCTGCTCAGCACCCCCCAGGGAGAAGCCATGAGCCATTTCCCACGGAGCCCAGCCTGGCTTGCAGCACGCCGGTGCCTCTGGCCCCACTGCCCAGGCGGGAGAGGACGGGAGCTGCCCAGAGCACCCCACGCCAGGAGACCGGGAAGGGGACATCTGGGGGTGCCAGCCCGCAGCGCGGCGGGCCCCTCGCTCCTGCGCCAGCCCTCCGCACAGACCGCGCGAGCGCAGGGACCTTTCCACGGCCGGCACGGGTGATGGCACGCGTCACCCCATCTCCCAACCGCGCGCCGTTCCGCGGTACCCGGGCATGCACCGCGCCTTTCCCCGCGGCGCGCCGGGCACCCGGCTCCTGGGATCGCACTAACCTTGCGGTGCCTGTGCCGCCCTGCCTGCCCTGCCTGCTTTGGCAGGCTCCCGCTCGCTCTACGGCCGGGCAGTATCAGCCGCCCGCTAAAGAGGTGCCGAAAATAACCCGGTGGCCACAACTGCTTTTATTCCCGCGACAGGTGCGTTACTAAGTTAGACGCCGCACATGTCCCTCGGCCGGGACAGGGACGGGGTTCGCATCCCCGTGACCCGCCGGAGCAGGGCGAGGGGCTGGCACGGGGGAGCGTATCCTGCCTAAGCCCCCCGCGGCGGCACCGTGCCCCCCACGGGACCCTGTGCCTGCCGGGTTGGGGGGCTGCGGCTGCGGCTCGGGTCTCTCATGAGAGCGGATGCTTCATTTTACTTACAAAGACAGACCATCGACCATTTCAAGCAACCATGAAAACGGCCGCGAGGCAGAAACGTCGGAGGGCCAGCGTCTCGATCTGCAAGCAAAATAAAACACGCTATGATGAGAGAGCAGAGGGGGCAGCTCTCGGCCGGGGGGTCCCGGCTTGGGCACGACCCGCTCCTCCTGCAGGCGACGCTCCTCGACAGCGGGCATGGCAGGGGGATGCGTGCCATGGGCTAAGCCACCCAGACCCAGGCGTGCCAGGGATGGAGCCGGGTCCCTGCATCCCACTGCGGCCGTCGGGAGGGTTCAAGGGATGCTTGGCTGCCTAACACGGTCCCTGCATTTCGGGACCACCCCTGCAAAGCCCCAGCGCAGGGGGGAGGTTTGCGACATTTTCCCGAGACCGAGAACAACCGAAACACCGTCGCGCTGCGGGCCGAGCCACGGCAAGAGAGGCTACCTGCACCCCCGGCCCCGCATCCCGCGCCGAGCCGAACCCACGATGCCACATCTGCCGCAGGGCTTGGATTAAAAAGCAAAACCCCTCAGAGCGCAGCCGAGCACAAGCTGATTTCTAATTAGAGAGCATCTGGCCGGGAGGGCGGCAGGGCCGCGGCGGGGAGCACCGCCGGGGCGCGGCGGCTGTTGGGGGGGCTGCGGCTCAGGGGGTTGTTTTAGGGGTGTTTTCTTCCCCCATGGGGTTTCTAAGCAAGAAGCAGCTACGAGCAAAATGCCTGCGTGCACGGGATACGTCTCGACGGAGCTGGAGCAACCCTCGCTGTGGCCACCGTCGCTCCTGCTGGGGGGGGACCAGCCTCGGCCCCTGCCCCCCCCCCGGATCCTGCCCCGCGTGTGCCTTGTCTTGCCGTGTGCCGGGGCGGTGACACCGGCACAAGGACCGATCCCCAGTGCAAGCCCTGCAGGTGTGTAACGAGCCCACGTGCCACCAGCGCAACCAGCGCGTCGGGGCTTGCCCAGTTCAACGATGCTACAGACACTAAGGACTCGGACCGCGAGTCCCCACCGAGTCCCCTGATCCCACCACGCCGTGGCCTGGGCAGGGCAAGAAGGTCCCTGCCGCTGCGGCTGGCCGTGACACCAACCTGCCACCACCGGGTGCCACGTGCGGATGGGCAGGCAGGACCCCACATGGTCGGACCCCCCCGACGGGGCCAGCTCGGACCCGCGGGGACTCCCCCAGCCCGCAGCATCCTCCGTCCGGCTCTCTGCAGGTGAGAGCACCGGGGGCCACGCGCTGCTCTGTGCCACTGTTCGGTGATCGCGTGGCAGGAGATCAGGACATCCCCGTCCCCAAGCACGTTGCAGGGCACTGCTGGCGACGGGCAGTGCCGTGGTGGTCCCCGCAGGCACGTGCATGAGCTTGGGGTGTGCAGCCCAAAGCCCTTCTCCGGTGCAAGAACGGGTAGTGCCACCCCACGGCACGGCCAGCACCGCGCAGGGGGTCTGAGGACGCCGCTGGTCCCGGGTGCAGCATGTGACCCAGAGACAAAGGGAGGTGGGCAGCCCCCCATCCCGGCATCCCGTCCTCAACCCGGCATCCCATCCCCATCCCTGGTACTCACTGGTGTTTGGTGTGAAGGAGGGGAGGCGCGTGGCTCCCTGCGTGACGGCCGGCGGCGGCGGAGGCATGCTGGGCGGCGTGGACCTGGACTGTGTCTTCACGTCGGCCGGCGAGTCGGGCATGGTGGCGGTCTGTGTCTCCACGTTATCTGCGGGGAGAGGGCACGGGGCGGTGAGCGGGGTGTGCCGGGCAGCACCGCGTTTTGCCCTCCGAACGGGGCTCAGGTCAGGGGCAGAGGGGACCCACAGGGACCTCAGGCTGGGCTGGGCATCTCTGCTCCCTGGTGCAGGATGGCAGCAACCCTCGCCCTGGGCAGAGCTGGGGCAGCGGGGACGGTGCCTGGTGTCCTGTGTGCCTGCAGGACGGTGGGGATGGTGACCAAATTCCCATGCATCTGCAAAACGGCGTGGATGCAGGGTGGTGGGGACAGGGCAGGGCACCACTCTGCCCCACGCACGGGGCACAGCCCGGCCCAGCACACAAATGGCGCGTGTGTCCCCGCAAAGCCATCGCTGTCGCATCCCGGGACCCTCCTGCCAGCAGTTACCTGCCCACGTCTCGGGAATCCCCGGCTGCCCGCTAACCCCTCGCCGTCCCCGGCAGCTACGCGCAGGGCTGCCGTAATCCCAGGCGGGGATTACGGACAGGCAGTAAATCGTGGGTTCGTTACAGCCAGGCGCTCGGTGGCGGTGGCGACGGCAGGACCCACGCACCCACCAGTGGCTGTCATCCCACAGCCCCGAGGAGCCCCACGAGGCACCAGATCCTGCAAACCGGGGAGCACGGCACCGCTGCCTCCCTCCCACCGTCCTGTGCTTGCAACCCCAAATAACACCCGGCAGCGGCATCCCCGGGGAGAGCGTGCCAGCACCATCCAGTCTGGATGGCGGCGGCGGCACGGCCCCGGTGCAAGGTTTCGGCCCCGCGGCTGCTGCGCCGGGCGGTGATGGGTGACCGCAAGTGCGGGCAGCTGCGGCGATCTGTCAGTGTGCCCGAGCCCGCGCCGTCGCCGGCCCCAGCCAAAGAAGGAAGCGGCCGCCGTGGCTGCCCCCCAGCCCCGCACCCGGCCGGGGTCCCCGCTGCGCCCCGGCACGCTCCCCGCCAGGCAAGGCTGATAAACACTAATCTAATATGCATGCTTAATCCGCTGCAACTGTTGTGAGATTAATTGAACCCTGCAAGAGCGCATTGTCTGGGCTAAATAAAACCGGGGCCTCATCCCGAGCGAGATGCTATCGGGGCTTGTGCCACAGCCGATGCTGTGCGGGGACGACTGGGAGATGGGAGAGCTGGTGGCAAGGGCCAAAATTTCGGGCAGTCACCATCGTGGTCCCACAGTATCCTCCCAGATTGCTCCGGCACTGTGGGAGCATTCCTCCCCACCCGCGGCACACCATAATCCTGCAGACGCCTGGATGTGCATGCTCCAGTTTCCCTTTCCTTGCTCCGTTCTCCCACTCCAGCCACAGGAGAAACCCCAAGACCAAGCAGCATCCCTCCCCGTAAAACAACAGTTTGTTGACAGGACCTGCCAAAATAGATGGTGTGTTTTGAAAAACACCTTTTATTTTCCTTTTCATGGAAATGCCCATCTCTAGGCAAGGCTTCTCCAGACTTCCAGGCTTCCCCCATCAACCAGCGGAGCAGGATCCAGCCCCGACGGCAGAGGACGAGCCGCGAGCGTGCACAGAGCGTGACCTGGAGTGGGTGCCTGCATCCGCGCAGCCACAGTGCCTTAATCCGCCGGGTGCTCACACGATCCCTCCTGGGCTCAGCATCCCCTGGCCATCGCCCTCCGCCCAGCTTGGCAAAGCATGACCTGCATCGCCTCTGCTTGCTGGCTCCTGCCTGCAACAGGCAGGACCAGCACCTCCCCGTGACGCAGAGCTCTGCGTGGGCACCGCTGCCATCCCCTCGCCCTTCTCGCCCCCTCCAAGCCCGGGGTTTGCACCACGGGGCGCTGGCTGGCGTTGCACACCGAGCGCGGCGCAGCGAGGCATCGCGACGCGTTCTTCACGTCGGCAACGCTGCAGCCGCCCACGTGCTTGGCCCCAGCCCTCCACGCAACAGCCGCCGGCGTGGGGACAAGCTGCAGCAGCTTGGGGACAGCGTGGCAGCTTGCCCAGGTAAGTGCACCTGCACCAGTTGCTTGCGCGGCTCCCAGCATGGTGGGGCTGCGCCGGTGCGTTTGGCTCTGCCGTTGCTTGCAGGGAGGGAGGAGGCTGCAGGCTGCGAGATGCTCGCCCCAGCCTGCATCCCTGTCCCTGGCTGCATCCCCATCCCTGCCTGCATCCCTGGCACCGTCCCTATGTGCATCCCTGCTCCCGTCTGCCTCCCTGGCAGCATCCCTGCCTGCATCCCCAGCACAGTCCCTGCCTGTATCCCTGTGCCTGCCTGCATCCCCATCCCTGTCCCCATCCTCCTTGCTGTCCTGACTCCGTACGCACGTCCACGCCGAGGGGAAAACAAGGATACGCTCATTCTGGCACCGACACGGCTTTTCCACAGCTTCCCATTGGGAGGAAAGTTTCCACGAAGCTGAGCAAGCACCCAGGGAAACAGGGCCTGGCTGTGGTTTTTTGTGTCTTTTCCTTTTTCTTCTCTAAGTCATAAATTTTCCCCAAGGTGTTTGCAACCCAAACAATGCCATGCGGGCACAGGGATATGGGACGGCCCCAAACCCGATGGGATTTCTCAGTGCCAAAGCCCAGAAAAGCCCATGGGAAACAGAGCCCAGGATGTCTGCAGGATCCGGCCATGGCCATGGCACCCACCCAGGTCCTTTACAGGATGGGACAAGCTCCGTGGCAGGCAAAGGGGGTTTCAGGGGGGCACGCTGCAGCCTCCTGGCAGCGCCTCCAAACAATAATTCCCCAACACGACTCAAAGTCCGCTGGAATTTTTTTTTTTCTTTCTCTGTTTTTTTTTTTTTTCTTTCTTTCTTTGGGGTAATTTGTCCCAGCCGCTCAGGGCTGTGTCTGTTTTCCTCCATCTGGTTTCCATTAGGCCTGTACAACCCAGATGAATAAGTAATAATATAAAAATAAAAGGATTAGTATTTTCTCCTTGGCTGGCGGGAGCGGGCGTCCCCCACCCTGCCTCCCGGGGCCAGCAAATGCTGGACCCCGCACACCCCCGCACGACCCCGAGCCCCCCATTTGTCACACCGGAGGGTTTAACCCCTGGCACACTGGCCCGGGCACGGTCCCCGCTGGGGTGACACACCAGCGTGGCCGCTAACCGGCTGATAAAGCCCGGCTTGGCCCCAGCTTGCTCGTGGTGCCTGGCCCCGTGCCGCGCCAGCAGCACCACAGGGGTCGGGTTTTGTGACCCCGCTGGGCGCCAGCAACCCCCGAATCGCTCGCTCCAGCTTGTGCATCGCTTCTCCCGGGTGGAAGCTGCAAGAGAGCCTGTTAGCTGGTCCCCTGCCTCCCACCGGAGCTGGGGCCGGGGGTCTGCTTGGCTGCGTGCTCCTCAGCGGGCAGCGCTGGATGCTGGAAAGCACCAATGCATGGCACCGTGCGGCTGTGCACGCCATTAGGCACCAACACACGGCACGGTGCAACGATGCATGCTGGCGGGCACCAACACATGGCGCTGTACAGCTGTGCACACCAGCAGGCACCAAGGCACAGCATCACACAGCCGCACACACCAGCGAGCACCGACGTGCAGCTGAGCACGCCAGTGGGCACCAACACACGGCACCCTGCAGCCGTGCATGCCAGCGGGCACCTATGCATGGCATCCTGCAGCCTGGCGCGTGAGGGACGGTGCCCAGCAGCCGGCCCAGCCCAGCGTCTGCTGTTTCCCATGGCCGTGGGGATCCCGTCCCGCCGCTGCAGGCTCTGCCCCAGCCTGGGGTACCCGTCCTCCCCAGGCAGCGAGCGGTCCCTGCTCTCTGCAGCCTTCGGCAGGGCCACAGAGCAGCTGGGGATGGGAATAGGGGTGCGCCAGCCCCAGGGGTGAGCCTGATGACTGCGGAGCACCCAGGCCGGCTGCTCGCCTCTCCACCTCCCCGGGGATGGGGATGGAGAGGGCAGGGAGCTGCCCCGACTGCGGCCGTCGGAAAGCTCCGGCTTCCTGCAGCCCTCCCAGGCCAGGCGAAGGTTCCTGGCGAGGAAGGGGTTAAAAGGGAATTAAAAGACCAGCATCCTTCATGCTCTCCAAATGGCCACAAATGAAATCCAGATGCTGGAGGCGACGTCTCCTGAAGCCAGGCTGCCTCCGAAACAAAGGCAAAGCATTCCTGCTCCTCAGCTGCCGCTGCCACGGGGGCCAAGAACAACTCCCCGATAAGATGGCGAGGGACCGAGCCGTCCCAGCTGGAGCACGTCAGGGAAGCGTGCAGCGCCGGCGGCCAGGCAGCAGCGCCGGCCACGTGCGCAAGCCCGGCAGAGGTGGTGGGAGCTGCAGGGCACCGTCGTCTCCCTCTTCCCCTGCACCCATCCTGCTCCCCTCCCCGGGGACAAGGCGACGATGGGGGTAGGTGACAGCAGGCAGCTCGGAGGTGGCTCATCCCCAGTTGCACACGGAGGACCGGGACGGCGCCTGCGGGATGCGGCGGGGATGCTGCCCACCCCCGGCAGTTATCCCATCGCCAACGTGTCCCGTGTGCCCGTTTTGGGGAGCCGGGCTAGCAAGGAGCGATCCAAACCCCAGCACTCGTCAGCACAAATGAAGCCTTTTAAAAGGAAATTTAATTAATTAAACCCTCTGCACAACATGTAAATGAACCTGGATTCGGCCGACTCCAGGCCTGGGGAGGCGCTTGCAGGCGCGGGGAGCTCTCGCCGCAAGTAATGGCTGCCGCGAGGACGACGGGACGCAGATGTGCCCGGCAGCGCCACAGGAGCGCTGGCAGCGGTGCCCAGCGCTGCCGGCTACTTGGGCCCTGCCTGCACTCCTGCCTGCAGGCAGGGATCCTCACAAGGATGCTCATGCGCTGAGCGGTGCAAGCCTTGCTCTGCCCTGCTGCTCCAGCTGGGGGGATGCTGGCAGCCTGGCCCAGGATGGGTGACAGCGCCGCACCAACCAACCCACGAATTTGGGCATCGCCCCTGCGGTTTAGTTCGGCTGCTCAGCGGAGCGGGACACTCCATCCTCGCACCACCGCAGTAGCCCTTTGCACCGGTCGGCGAGCCAGCC